CAGAAAGAAATAAGGGGGAAAAGTTCCCCAGTTTCACGTGAGACCATTTGAAACGATTGGCGGTGAACCAAGACATTAGTTGATCGCTGGTATTCATCCATACATCATCTAACCGAAAGAATCAGAAACAAATACCATATTGTTACATGCTCCAATTTGTGCAAAAACGTGTGGTTGAATGATGCATAAGCATTTTGTACATTTAGGAAGTAGCCTACGCATAGTAGAGAAGAATATGACCACAACAGCCAAAAAACAAGATATTCGAAATATTCACCGATAAGCGGAGTTTATCCTAATATCGACATATTTACTTTTAGCCTATTTTAGTAGTTCAGTTAGAATAGGGTTCCACGCTATTGTAACCCTAGAGGTTATAGCTCATGGTAATGTAATGTAATGTATCAAGATTCTGGCAAATACAGGTTATGCTACATAGTTATGATATGCATGAGGCAGACAGTGTAAACTCTGTTGTACACACTGAATCACTGTTGGGAGCTAGCTCGGCTGTTTTGTAATGGGGAGAAGATCAACGGTGATAAAACCAGTAATGAACGTCGGAGTCTCGGAGGATCCTATGAATACATCGGGTGACGTGCGCCGTGCTATTCCTTTCGTCAGAGGTCATTCGGAATGGTCTCATCGACGAGAAGATACAGAGGCGATATGCTTCATGGTATTGAAAAGTAAAGTTTTTCCTGAAATTCGTTTCCCCACATTCATTTAATTTTCATTACAACTTCAATAAAAGTTTCTTATTACCACAACTTCTAATTGCTGTCGGAAATTCAGCAATGAGGAGTAAGCATGAAAATATGATAAGTAAAACGAATATCGCTTTAGTTTGAATTTTTACCGTGTTCTTTGACTTTCTTATCCAGTCGGTTAAACGATCTCCGAACAACAACTACAAGAACCAGAGGCATCAACTTTGGTCAGCGGAAGGCCTTGCTGTTGAATCCCCAAGAAAGTTCATTAACCAGCCAGAACTTCTCGCACTAGCAAACCGTGAACCTTTTTCTTCGGCATTAAGATCATCGCACAGTGATTTTTTTGACGCAAAGTGTGGACTGAGACGCGGGATATATATATATATATATATTAACCAAAAACTAGCGGTCGCTTATTTAACCGCGACGGGTGACGGGCTCGGTAGCATACAGCTTTGAAATTTCGGGATACTGCACCATTTTATTCCAACGGGTTGTATTTTAGAACATCGACATCGGACTTTCCCGATTTATTCCCCTCGCCACACAACATGCAACCATGTGGTCTGTAGACACCAGTATAAATGAACCGAACACAGGGATACTGGAACCGGGTGTGTGAAACCACGTTACACCATCAGCCTCCATTTTATTCAGTATACTGAATATAGGAAGTTAGTGCACATATGACGAAACTCCCAAGTGGGTTATATTTGGTAATGCAGGTGGTGACTAGAATTGTTTATTTTAACCTATAAAGGGACCTATGAGGAAATACATTAGCGAAACTCTATAGTTTTTATAACGACAGGGTTGGTGAATCAATCAATCTGTCTAAGGTGCCTTACACGTAAGGCCCCCTTAGACGCACTTGACAGCGGGTAAAACCACTCATTCTCCGTCAGTCAATCTAACCGCGGTCAGGGGTTCAAACACTCTTATCGGAAGTCGAATGGAGAAAGTTGATTGAGTTCCGACTGGGAGCCATACAATACATCAGTCCAATTCTCAGCTACTCTTGAATGACTTTATATATAATAATTAGTTATCTTTATACATAAGAAGTGGTTATAATCACTTCTTACACATGCACCACTTAAAGATAACTTCATATATATATATATATATATATATTGATTTAGCATATGTGCACATATGCATACATACATATGTATATGTAGCACGTGCTACATATACATATGCTTCGTTTGAAACATGCAACAATTGCTTAAACTATTATGTTATATAATGATANTACAATAATTATTAAGATATTCAAATCTATTTGTCGCATGTATACGCGACAGAGGAAAGCTGATTCTAAAATAACATTGAATCAAAATTTTCGGTTTAATTTATTTTTACCTACCCGAGTATAGCAAACCGAGTGAAAATTTATGCATAAACCGGGGAGTGGTTCTACGAACACTCCCTAAATTGTAGCCTGCGCTACAAAGGTCGTCGATTACCAGCCAATGGTGATAACAACAAAAGCGCGAAAACATTCAGAAAAGGTCATAACAAGTTGAACAGGATTGACAGCGGTTAAGCTCAGCTTCCGATTACCTAAAGTTTTTAGACAGTTTATGTGCTCGAGGCTAAGCTCAAGTGTTCTGGATCTCCCTTATCGTCAGTTTTCTTTCACAGTCCAGTCCGGTCCAGTCCACTCTTCACAGGACGAATAATGACCCTTGCCAATCCAGCTTCCAGATTATTGTGTTGTCGGCGGGTGTTCTTGGCTCCCGACACTGCGTTTTCTGAGTTTCTTTCAGCTAGGTTCTCTCAAACGGGCTGGAAAATAGAAAACAGAAGAGATGTCTTCTCGCCTCGTCGGTGAGAGACCTTAGTTTTCTGAAACATATCAGTTTCAAGTGCACTTTAAAGCCCCGATTTCATAGTTCAGGACTGCAATTTACCCTGCTTTCGGTGTCGATGCATTACCAACTAACTTCAGGGAAAATGTCTGACCAGCACGCATCCAGTGCCGCCTTGAAATTGTGCACATTGGTGCAGTTGACCACTCCCCCGGGTAACTTGTTCCACATTGTTATGACCCTATGAGAGAAGAAATTGGCCCGGACTTCCAACCTAGCATCGTTCTGTTGGAGCTCAAAGCTATGACCCCTCGTGTTTTGAGCACGAGAAGCCGTAAACAAGTCATCTGCATGGAGTCCTGATAGCCCTCT